TGTCGCCTCCCCCCCATCCAGCCAGGCCGCCTAGAAGAAGCAGGAAGAGACATGAACGCGACCTAACCAAGGGCTCCCAACTTCGAGCTTCGCGCTGCGCGAAGCGCGAAGTGCGGATAACTTCACGCTCTCGCGCCGCCTCCCAGGGTAGAAGAGGAGGATGAGGAATCGGAGCCGAACCGCGAAGCGCGAACAACTTCGCGCCCTCGAGTGCGCCCTTGTTTCCCCCTCTTCCTCGTTGCCGCCTTTTGCGCGCAAAAAGGGCCCCGCACATGGCATGTGATCAGAGCGAGAACGAGGTACCTCTCGCTGCATTCACGAATCAAGCCTCTAACGCCCGAATTCCCCCTCCGATCCTGAAATTCTGAACGGGGACCGTGATGGTGCCGTATAGCCATCCACCGACGATACCCTGCCAGTATGCTGACACGGGGATGAACGACATGATCGCGTAAATGACCTCTGCGTCGCATTGGAATAACAGCACGGCTACAGAACTATTGCGAACATAATGCAGAACGAACCTGCCGATTCGTGCCGAAACACTCGACCGTTACTGCACATCCCAGAGCCTGCTACACCATGGACCATCAACATCTTCAAACAGCATGAGACCCCGCTGGAATTTAGGTACACTCCGATTTTGCCGCGCTGGGCGTATCTCAATTTCTCCCTTCCACGGCTGCAGTAGAATCAACGATAGTCAGAACCTGGAATAAACAACTGCATCTTGGCGGCATATGTACGGGCAGTCACGGTGCAGCTCCCTGCTGCGAAGCTGGGGGCCATCAGATTACAAGCGGGGTGGACGTGATGCCACGAGGAAAAAGAGGAAGGGGAAGAGGCGTCGGATGAGGAACAGACGTTTTGAACACCACGCGCGCGCTTCGCGCGCGCTGGGGTTCTGGTTGATCACAGGTAATCGGGGTAATCGGGCCAGCAGGTGCTGGCCCTTGTGGGGTCCTCTTGGGACTGTCTTATAACCTCTTGGCGCCACCTAGGGCCCTCTTGGGATTTCCTATGCCATTTTCGAGCCTTCTTTGGACATCTCCAAGCGCTCTTGGGCCATCTCTGGGCCATTTTGGCCCGGCCGATTGCGGGACATGGGACCAGAAAACATACGGGCTGGGAAACCGCCCCTCGGGAAGGGGTGATCGAGAAAGTTGAGGCCACGAGGTGACAAAATCAATCCGCCAGTCGTCTCTCTGGCTGGTGAATAAATGGTGAATGAATCGTACGTGTAACGATTCACATGATTCAGTCTTGCGGAGATCAACGTATACACGAAAATAGCGCACATCGTCACATATCCTTGCGTGGTCCCATTTGCCTGCCCAATCGCCACTCGCCTTTACACTCACGGACAAATTCCTCAAAGCGTTGCGATTCACAACTGTACGTCCTGCTGCAGAGCTCAATACTGGAGCAGCAAAGCAAGATGTCCGAGAGAAAAGAAGGAGATGGCATTGATGGGTGGTGCGCACACGGGGGTAGGGGGAAGGAAGGAAGGCTTCTTAGAGCGAGGCTGCATCTTAGAAGGCGCGAGCCTTGTCTACAAATGTAAGGCCACCGCCTTCTAAGAAGCATACTCCTTCTGAGAAGCTTTCCGCCATCCACCTACCCCCTTCTGCGCGTGGCCGAATTGAAGGGCCTCAAAGAACGGGAATCTCTCCACATTAGAGAGGAACGGTGCCACGACGTCCTCCCGTGCTGGCAACACGAAGAGAAATACAACACAAACCGGTGCATTGCAACATGGGAACGTTGTTGCATCATTACACGGCACCGCGCCCCGCAGCTTACATCGCCCATGTATTCACGCAACGCATGGCAGCTAAAACGTACTTATGCCATGCTCCTCCGCCTCATCCTTGTCCCCGGTGTACGAGTTGGCCGCGCCAAACTGGACAATCGTACTTATCTCCCTGCCAATGTCCAACTCTCCCCTTTGCCTTACGCTTCGTCCCTCCCTGTCCCGGTCGCATTCCTCCCGTGTCGCTGTCCTCCCTTCCCCCCGTTCTGCTCTATCTCACACGCTTGTCTGGTATACTATACACTGCATGGGCCATGGGCCCCCCTGGGTCTCTCGATCCCATCCCGGGACTGTCATTTCATAACGGATGGGCTTCTGATGGCCCCCTGAAGACGAACAAGTCGGCAGATCGTCACCCACCCACTGGCAATACGCCGTCCAGCGCGCGGGCGAGAAGTCAAACTCAAGCAGCCACGAATGGAGACGAGAGAAACGCGTTGGAGGCTCCGAAACGGTGCGGCGACAGACCGTGCGGTGACCTCGGACTCCACGGGCCTCACCGCAGGGTCTTTCACCGCATTGTCCAAGGTCGCGGTAACGGCGATGTTGGTTAACGGCGATGTTGGGAATCCGAGTTGTGTAACACCGAGCTCGCGCAGAACATGTTGCAGGAAATCACGAACAACAGTTTCCTAAATCTCGAATGTGCGCATGCATCGAGCGAAGACGACGCAGGGAATTATAGGAAAGCGCGAACCACCACGTCCTGCAATTGGTTTGGCCACGAACATCGCCGTTAGCGCGTCTGCGGATTGTCCTGGGACCTGGCAGGCTCCAGCCGCCCGACGCGTCTCCGGAGACCGACCCGAGCCTCAGAACGACGGGGCCACCTCGCACCCCCACGGCGAGACGGCTGTCCGCGCCGTGGGCTCTTCGTGACCCTGGGGTTAAGTCGGGCATATCCCCCCACAGGCGGACTTTGCACGAAAAATAAAGAATACCCCCCCAAATGCTCAAAAACAGTAAAACAGTCCGCACAGCGTCGTCCCCAGACTAATTTCTACAATTTCTGAAGATTCCTTCTGTAGAAGGACGTGCCCGACTTTGAACCTGGCAGGCTCCAGCCGCCCGACACGTCTCCGGAGGCCGACCCGAGCCTCGAAAACGGTGGTCGGAGGCCTGGAAATTGGCGCCAACACCAAGACAGAGGGCTGCCTCCACAGGGGGAAGCTGCTCCTAGATTTTCGGTGTTGGCGGTCATAGTTCGGCCACCTTGGAAGCCAGAAAATTACCACCATCACCGATAACAGGGGATGCGTCGACCCCTATCCCAGGCTCCGTGAGGTTTTCGAGAGGATCAACAATTTGGGGCCCAACCCTGGGATATACGAGGGGGGGGCGTCCATCCTCGACAGGGGTGCGTCCGAATAGCCCCCTCGGGATGTATCCCAAGATTCCTCCCCTTTTCCGAGCGACCAAAATTTTCTGGCGGAAGTCGGGGATTGGGGGAGAGAAATCGCCTGCGAACCGAGATCGGGACCTTCTTCCCTCGGTGGAGGCACACCACCGATCTTGGGCCTGCGAGGTGGGGCAACCTCGCAGACTCTCCCACGGCGCGACGGCTGCTCGCGCCGTGAGCTCTCTCCGTGGCCCTGGGGCCCGGGCGCTCCCGTGCCGCTCGAGAGGAGCGTCGCGAGTACGGTCATCGCCCTGACCTAAGGGACGATGACTGAGGAACGAAGGCCTTTTTTTTCCAGGGAAGAACGCCCGAGGCACGACAAATCAGGAATAACGTATGCGGCACCATGAATAACGCATGCACGCCTAAGGAACGACCGAGTCCCTTTTGAGAGGCAAGCGCTCCTTATTCATGCCGCTCACTGCATCGACCGGCACGGCGGGGGTGCGGGGAAGAGGGGCTCGAGCGGACCTCGAGGGCCCTCCTCCCAAGAGATGGGCGCCGCGGCGGCGGCGCGTGCTGCGGCTTCGTCCCGCGCTGTCGCGAGGCTCGCTGCGGAAGCAGATGGAGTGGGGCCCCATGGCCCATGGCCCACGGTGCGGGGCTCAGTCCGTGCCGCACGAAGGGGAGGAGGAAAAGGGAGGGAGGAGGTGGAGCAGGGAGGGGGATGGGAAACCCTCTCGCTTGCACCCTCCAGTGGGAGGAGGAGGCCCTACCGTTGCGCCTCCTCCCGGAGGGTGCCTTGGCGCATCCTCGTACACATCATCATTTCCTTCTGTCCCCCCCTCCTCGAGGCGACGGAAGAGGGCTGCACATGTGATGGCACGAAGCCCGCAGCTCGAAGGCTTGAAGAGGGAGGTTCGGAGTCTCCGCTGGCCCAGAAGGGGCGGGTGTGCCCCTCTCTCTCTATCTCTTTTTTCTCTCCATTTCTCTCTCTCTCTCTCTCTCTCGGGGCGGCCGAAGATTTGACGAAACGTTTGCTTGAATCCAGGCATTTTTCTTTGATCTCGGCCTCTGGGTCCCGTTTCCGGGCCCAGAGGCCGTCACAAATGCATTCAGGGCGAAACAATTGCCCTGGGGAAGGGGTGGAGACCTCTGGGGCCGCGCATTGGCAAATGAACATTCTGGCCGCGCATTGACAAACTACTGGCCGGGGCCGAAACTGGCCGCACCCAGCAGTGTTCGCATCGCCCCTTTCTCCCCAATCCCTCCCTTTTGTCCTCCCTCTCCCTCCCTCCCTCCTTCCCACCCCAGACCTTCAGCGTCGACCAAAATGATGACGACCTGGGCCCAGGGACATCACAGACTGCCCAGGAGGAGAAACCGAACCGAGGGATGGGCTCGAAAGGTTCAGTGGGCTCGGCCGTGGCGACTTGCGACGAGGGCGCGCTCGGCGTGGCCACAGTGGCGTCCCAGGAGGCCCGAAGAGAGCACGAGACGTCGACGTCCTGCCGCCTCCCGCCGTTCCTCTTGCGCGGCGCGCGGAGGTCGGGGGGACGACTCCTCCTCCCTCTCCTCCCCTGTGCTCCCCTCTCGGGGACGCGCAGGCAGGGACGGATTAGCGATCCGTGGATTCGGCGCGCGGTCGCCAGATCCATGGATCAGGGAAAGAGTTCTCCCCAAAATGCGGCCGGTGCCGCCTCGCTCGGCGGCGGAAATTGGCGATTTCCCCTGGAAGCGGGACCCGTCGCTAAACCACGCCCCCCTTGATCCATGGTTGCGATCGCCTGTGCTCCCCAGGTCCCCTCCTCCCATCCTCAGCTGCTTCCCCTTCCCTCCCCTCTCTGAGAGAAGGGCGGTCAGCTTGTGTCCGAGCTCCGCCCTCCCTGCCTGCGGGGGCGTGTCATCCCATGATGGGCCTGGATCTCCTTGCTCTTCGCGGGCGTCACAGAAGACAGTAAATCCCAAATCCAACCCCTCGCCCTCCTCATCGAGGAAACTCGAGAATCCCTTTCGAAGCTTAGGAGGTAATTCATGGAGAATTTTCCTCAGAACGCGTAAGGGCTATGAAGCCCGATTGACGGGGGAACTGGATGCGACGCCGCCTGCCTTCCGATCACGCTGGCCTGATCTCACGACCTGTTTAGCGCAAAGGCAAGACGAGGTACAGCAGCAATAGTCGGACGGATAGGGGCAACATTTGACCTCCCCTCCGACGAAGCGTGACACAGCGTCTAAGGCAAGGCAACTCAGCCCACCCCTTGGGGTGACTTGTGCGCGAAATAATGTCCCCAAAAACTCTTACTGCAGTGCATGGGCAACTCGCCTCGAGAAATGTTAAGTTTCCTTTGTCCGTTCGACAGTTGGCCCTGGCTGTCAAGTTTGCCACTGGCAACAAGGATAATTGCAGTCTCCCCGAGTGCTCACATGACAAGAGACCAGAAATGTCGAATGGGTCATCGGCGAAAGCGAAGGCATGATATCTCTGAGCCCAGAATTGCGAGGATATCTCGGGCGACATGACATTGGTTGGCCCACCTCGGGTCAGGGCATGTCCGAACCCTCAATTCTGACGGTGTCTCAGGCAAACAAGACTTGGAGCACGTGCGGCCAGGGTAGAAACACATGAACCCAGAGCTGTGGGGGTGTCTCAAACGAAACGAAGAGGTCCAAATCATATCCGAGCCCATAACTGCGAGGAGACGGCATCGAGTCACGTGAGGCAAGCGCAGGGCATCTATGAACTCAGAGTAACGAGGATGTGTAAGAAGAAGATGTCTGGAGGACCTCAGGCCTGGTCATCCCCGAGCCCAGAGTTGTGACCAAGGGTGAGGCGGCACTGGCTGGAACACCTCAGGTCGGGGCATCCCAGGGCCCTGAGTTGCCAGTAAGTCTGGGGGGGAGCTGGCTGGACCTCTCGCGCGGAATCTCGGAGCCCACACATCCGGGTATGTCTCAAGCAAGACGAACTGGACCGCCGCAGGACAATGGCGAGGACGTCTGAGGCAAAAAGGCTGGACCATCTCTCGCGCGGCATCTCGAAGCCCATAAAAACAAGGATGTGTCGGGTGTTTTTCGGCCAGGCGGCATCTCGGGGCCCATTATTGTGAAGATGACTTCGCCGAAACCGACCCAGACAATCTCTCTCAAAGTGTCTCCAAATTCAATGTCCCACCCGTCTTCTGGTCGGACGTCGTAAAAGATGGTCCCTTGTCCAACCTCCTCCTTCCCCTTCGAGCATTGGTGTAACACTGCTCCTGGATAAAATACCCCCCTCGACCACTCCACTAACCACTAGCCCGAGTCACTGCTCCCCCGTACGATTCCAATCGAAAACAAACTGTAATATCCCCAGGTGTTCCCCCTGTTGGAGCGCCGAAATGTGATGCTTTCTGCATCGTAATGACTATGGCTCTGTACATAGAGAGGAGTCCGAGCTGAAACGGGTAACCAAGAGCCCAGGAGAGCGACGCTCAGGCCCGGACGTCTCGCCTGAATCCGAGCTGCCACGTTTGGACAGGCACCCTGGCACAAACAACGAACCAAACATACGGTGCTGAAGTGAGGTCGGCGGCAGACGCGGCAGCCTTTAGATTTAGAGTCGGGCATCCACGAACGCTCTTTCCCGGATGAGACCGGACTGAGGCTGGGGTCAACCCAGATAAAACAGGATTGAGCCGAATTGAACGGAATTAAACTGTATTCACCGGGATTGAATCATCTTACGGAAGTCTACCAGGGAAATACCAGCGCCGAATCAGAATTGAACCTCCCAGGAGTTGCAACCTAGCGAATGCCTAGGACCCCCTCGGGAATCTCAAGGAATCCCGCGTCCTCGTTGTCCTCGTCCTCGTCTCTCATCCTCCTCGTCCTCGTAGCCGTTCTCCTCCTCCCCCGTCCCAAAGCAGGCGGAGCGAGGCCACGCGCTCCTTGACCTTCACTGAGTTCACCGCATCCTGCAACGTGAACCTCCTCTCCAAGAGCCCGTTCATCACAGGCTCCTCGTGTCAGCCGCTGCGTTAAAGGATCGAGGACGAGGAGAGGGAGGGAGGCGGACCCTAGCATGACCATACATATACAACTGATGCTGCAACACATCCGCCAGTCTCGGGCTCCCTTCATAGGTAACATCTTGTGTCAGAGCTGTGAGTGCCCGCTGGAAACGTGTGACAAGGATATCTGCCAGTAGGCACGACCCCACTTACCAGCTGCGGAACACAAATCAGCGGCGCGAGCCAGCCACTGTCAAGCGTGGTGCTCAACAAAAACACCTCCTCTGCGTCCGTGACCCAACTAAGCGGAAACACTGGACCGCAAATGGGAAATGCACACTGCATCCGCCACCGTGCCGCGATGCACCAAGCGGAGCGTCCTCGAGTGCAACAACTTTGTGAAAGCCCCATGTCTTAGATTGCTGGGCGGTCTTGGGCTCTCCCATAGATGTTTGTGTGACTTTGCGCGAAGCCGAACACCCTTGAACAAAGAAATCGTGGTTGGAGGTGTTCGGCCCCAGGAGGGGAGTCAAACTGGCCCCGCCAGGGCTCTTGTGCCAAGATGGCCAAAAAGAGATCCCTTGAGGCCCAAACTGCCCAAGAGGCCCCTGGGAGGCTCTGAACGGCCCCCACCAGGCCTCCAAGAGGCATCACGGAGAGACCCAAGGCGCGCAAGAGGTCTCCGACCCACAGACCAGGCACGGTGGCCGCATGGACCGACGGCATCTCAAACACGCCTGTCAATGGCCGCGTGATCAAACTGCTGGCTTCTGAGCGTAAGATCTGTAAAACGCTAACGAGGGGCATGGCCTGTCAGAAATCATCGTCGCCATAACATGCTGATATGAATGGAAGCGAGAGGACCGACAAAGGCACAAGTAGGACGACATATCTGCAATCTAATGTTGAAACGCACATCACGTGTCCAACAGCCACGTCCGTCAAGAACGGTCCCGCTGAGGAACAGCAATCCGCGACCACTTACACAACGTATTGACTTCTAGAACTGGATATCAGACGCTCGGCGCATCCGCAACTCTCACACGCGTCCTCCAACCCCGCCTCAATCCGTTCAAGTCCCTTCCTTCGCCTACCCTTACCTCCCTCCCCCCAACCTCGCATTGCCATCCTTCTCATCCTCCTCCCTCGTACCCCTCCCCACCTTCCCCCATCGCTGTCCCCCTACTCCTCCCCCTGCGCCTCCGCCTCCTCCCCCTCCTCCCCCTCCTCCTCCTCCTCCTCCTCCTCCTCCTCCTCCTCCTCCTCCTCCTCCTCCTCCTCCTCCTCCTCCTCCCATCTCTTTTCCTCATACATACCTCCTCCCTGTCGCGCCCCGAGGCGTGTCCGCAGTGCGCGCCAGGCATGCCGCACGAGACGTCCTCACCATCCATCACCATGGAGCAGAGAATTTGACGGGCGGGCTGCTTTCAGGACAAAGCGCTCGCCCCGACGACGAGTACCTTCGTTGAAACAGTGGCAAGAGCCTCACGGATGGAGGGCGGCCCGCTTCCAAAATGTGGCTCTCGCAGTAGCACCGTGCACATTCGTCTTATAAAAGTCTGCCAGAGAGCTGCACGAGCGGAGGGCGGTCCGTCTTCAAGACGTGGTCGTCGCCTCAGTGCCGCACGCACTCGTCTCAAGAGGCTGCGGCTGCTCAAAACATTCCTATGGCCGACGTCCTAAGACTGGCGTTTTGGCACGATGCCGGAATGTCAGGGCGCAACGGTCACGTCGATTCGCTTTGCTGAAGTCCCAGGAGAGGTGTTCTGACGCGGTTCAGGGTAGAAGGACGCAGTGGTGACGTTGGTTCGCGGCGGTGAAGTCCCAGGAATGGCGTTCTGGCACGATTCAGAATATCCGAACGTCTGTCTTCTAACAGGGCACTTCCCTGAGTGAGAATGAAACCTTGTGGGGACCTAGGGCATATTGCAATGCCGTTGATTTGCCTTCGGTTTACAGTAATCCTCCTCCTCCATCCTCCTGCCTTGTGGATAACTCCTCCTTGTCGCACCCCGAGGCCGGTCGAAAGGGCGAGCTGGGCGTTTCGCATGAGACTTTCTGATTTTTACCATGGCGCTAAACATTTGGAGCAGTTTCAATAATGGAGGGCGGGTCGCTTTCAAAATGTGGCTCTGCCCCAACGCCGCGCACATTCGTCTAAACAAATTGTACAAATTTCGCGGATGGAGGGCGGTACCTTTTTAAAATGTGGCTCTAGTCCTAGCGCCGCGTACACTCGTCGTAAAACTATGCAGAAGCTTCACGTCTGGAGGTAGGTCCGTTTTCAAAACATGGTTTTCGCCTCAGCGCCGCGCCCGTTCGTCCAAAACATTTGCAAGAGCTTCAATGATGGAGGGCGGTTCCTTTTCAAAATGCGGCTCTCGCCTCAGCACCGCGCACATTCGCTTGAAGAGTCTGCAACAGCTTCAAACATTCTTAAGGGGAACGTTGATGACGTAATGTTCTGTCACGATGTAGGAATGTTAGGGCACATCAACCTCGTTGATTCAGGATCTTCGACACGGGAATGTCGCAGGAATGGTGGTCTGGCACAAATCAAGATCGTCAACACGCAACAGTGACTGTGATTGATTCGCGGCGTTTGACTCACAAGAATGGCGTTCTGGCACAATTCTGGATTTTCAAACGGTTGTATTCAAACGGGGCACGTCCCTCAGTGGAAATGAATCCGAGTAGGGGCCGTTGAAGAGGGAACCTGGAGGGACGAATTGTTGCAATATCGTTGATGGGTCTTCGGTTTCCTCCTCCTTCTCCTCCTCATCCCGAACACAGGATGCGCAAGCGGCTCGGTGCGGGGATCCGCACGCAAGAGTGCCGTCAGGAGCGACGCAACGCCTGCCCACGCCCGCCCCTGGGGCCGCCCCGGCGTGGGGATGGGGAGCGAAGGGGGGGAGAGGCGAGAAGGAGGCGGGAAGGAGGAGAGAAACCGAGACGGGAGGGCGTGAGCGGCACGAGGACGAGGCGAGGGGGAAGCGGGACGAGGAGGGATTGACGAGAGGGAGGGAATGGCCAGGGAAGGAGGCGGGAGGAGGGCGAATGTCGGCGAGGACCGCTGATGAGAAGGGAGAGACCGATGAGGAGGCACGGGGATGTGAGGGACGGGTAAGAAAATAGTTGGGAGGATCGAGAAAGACAGATATAAAGAGATATATACATACATTCGCAGCACAAGAAAGAGGACGAAGGAAGGATGGATGAGGAAAGGTGATGGAAGTGGACTGAGAAAATGATAGCCACGATGCAGACGATAATGTTTGTCTTGAGAGAAGAAAGAGGCGATGAGGGGACTAATCCACGACCGTGCCACAAGGCACTGAGGGGAGTGTCTGAATCAACAATCTTAGCCGGTTCTGGGCGCTCCCCGCATGAGTTTTCAAGGGGCCCTGGAAGCTTGATTGGGAGTCCACCCTTCCCACATGTCATAAAATCGTCCAGAAAAGCCGTCATGGGCCTCCATTGGATATCTTGGGCCGCTTTGGAGGCATTTTGGGCCGATGCTTCCTGGTTTCCACACGCTCGCCCTGTCCGTAACCACTCGAAATGTCCCAAGCGGCCCCAGGCGCCCCGAAGACACGCCAGCGAAGGCCCCCGAGACCCTCAAGAGGACCCCCAGAGCGCCGCAGGAGAAACCCAAGAGTGGAACTCGAACTGCACACTATGATCCTCCACTCCAAAATGGCCACGGAACCGCCCTCCAGGCCCCCGCTAAGCACCCCAAGGCCCCCAGAGGCCCACAAGATGTCTCCAGAGGGGCCCCTTTAGGAGGCTTCCAAAAGGCACCAGAAGCATCCAAAGGCCCCAGCAGTCCTCCAATACGCCCTTCGATGTTTTCCCAGAGACCCCCTTGATGCGTCGAAGAGGCCCCAAGTGGCGTCCTCTCCGCGACCTAGGCACGGTGGTGGCGTGGGGGGCGCTCGATGTCTGGATGTGCGGAACCAAGATGCTTAATGGAAACGATCGAAGAGTAGAACGAGGGAAATATAACCGACAATAGCAAAACCAGGGGGGACATGATGACAGGGAGGGATGAAAGAGGTATGATGCACAGAAGCATCAAACTTGACGAACAAGTTTATAAAGCAGAGTGGAACCACAAAGTGATGGGGCGCGAAGGCTCTGAGGGTTGCCTCACCCTCCTCCTCCTCGTGTAAAGTCCCTAAAAAGGTCACTGCTGCCCCCAGAAGTCTTCGAAACCCCAGGATACCCCCAGAGACCGCAGGCCCCCGGGGCCCCAGTTTAGCCTAAGGACCTCAATCCTCGAACCCCGATGCCTCATCCCGTCCCTCTCCCCTTTTCCCCTCCCCTGCTCAGCCATGTAGCAAACCGAAGTGTTTGCCACCAGCGCTCAACTGTGATCTCTGCTGGCAAATGCTGGGAAAAAGAACCTGAATACACGGCCACTCCTGCTGCAACTTGCCGACCAATACCACCACGCACCTCGCCGTCGAAACTAAGCCACGTAGTCGCGTGATTCGACCTTCCCCTCGAGGCGGCATCTGGGCCTTCCTCCAGAGGGCCCGTCCATCCGACGCAACATTTGCTGCGCGGTCTGCTGCGCAATTGTAAGACTGCGGGTCCCACTCCACGAAGCCAGTCGTGTTCAAGCGTGGCAAGAAGCCCATGTACAACAAACTCTGGAACACTTGCAAAGCGTGGCGAAACGAGGGCGGACTTGAAGATAATCCATTACGGCGCGGTTGTTCAAAAATGCTTCATTTACGAATTGCCCGTATATATCCACAACCGCCTGGATCCATAACTCCACGCCAACTGGTTTTGGAAGCACGGGCGCCGTGGTAAATCTTCCCGCGCCGAGCCGAATCGAATTTTCTTTACGGGGGCCTCGTTCGTGGTGGCGGGTCGCTTGTGGAAGGTAGGTCCCATTTAAGAGTACAATCCAAACTTAAATCCACGAACAATGGCATCCAAACTGCCGTGTCGGAGCAACTCGCAAGCTGGCCCCTTCCACCCATTGCCCCACGCCTCTGTAGAACAAGTCGTCCCCACAGTGTCGATTGATGCCCATAGTGGCCGCGGACAAGCCACATGTTCCTTCATTTCCTCTCATGAGTGATTGCCGCCATCGTTTCCAACTATCCTGCGTTGCGGTAAGACCCCAGGCACTGCGGGGGCAGCTCGTCCAGACGAATCGTGTGCCAAGAAAACGTCGCAAGCGGATTTGGAGACGGTTTGCATGCGCCTCTGCGGGAAACGCGGCAGATCCTAACTGTCCATCCAACGCTCAATAATCCGTGCGGTGCGGCCATTGAATTGAATATTCCTCCCTGGTTTCGCCGTCGCCGCACTGCATTTTCCTCCCCAGAATCTTTCGCGATATCTTGAATTCCCACCTCCTCGCTGCCCGCGGCAATCGGGAACATGCGTGCCACGTGCAACAACTGCGCGAAGCTACGGCGGAGGTGGTAACGCGCCACAGCCGCGAGCGCCTTGCATGCGTCAGCCCTGGGTTCCTCAAGACTCCGCGGTAATAGTCTGACTCAGCTCTACTGGCATTACATGTCCAAAACCTGGTGCCGCTCGCCGCCTTAATCGACCGCTCGCCCCTAGGTCTCAAGAGACCTTCCGAGACTATGCTCCAGCGAACTCGCTTTCCACTTCAAGTGTCCATGGCCGGATTGGTCCATAAAGGCCCCGAGCGCGGCGTTGACTTCGTTTCGCATGTTCTGCAGCATGTCTCGACGAGCTGCGAATAACCGGACGCGCATGCAACGACGGGCACACCGAGTGCGAGAGGAAGCTCCCGAGCGCCAGCGAGGCACAAGACTTCTTCACGCCCACTTCAACACTGAAATTGCTGCATTCCTCTGGAAGCCGTAGGCGTTGACACTGGAAGGAGGTCGCTGGCCCCCAATCCTCGGTCGAAGGGCGCGAACGCATTGTTTCTACAGCGCTGGCGACTTCCCGATCCACTGGAATTCGCCGAGCCCCCTGGCGATTCACATTGGGCGGGCCTATGATTTGAAGGATCTTCCCATCTGGCGACGCATCTGCGTGAACTAACGCGCCGCTGGGGCGAGCGAAACGCCCGCGCAATCGAGCCAACGACAGGAACGGCAGAATGTTGAAGACGCCCGACGGGCCCCATCGGCACCCGCAGCTCCGCCACTCTTCGCCCCAGCGATGGATTGCAGCGTGCCTCAAAACTCAAAGAGCTCCCCAATGACCTCGAGCAGCGCTGAAGATGCCTCATCAGATACCCGGGCGCTTTGCCGATCGACTCGGTTCGGGTCGTCGCCGGGTCGCTGCTTCCCAAAATCGCAAGCCGCTCCAAACCACTCAGCTCTATCGTGGAACCCCGTCCACGGTCTGAAGTGCAAGCGCGAATTCGCCATGGACAGGTCATCGTCGAAGGGCGCTGGCCCGTCGCGCCATCCGCATTCGTCTCCAACCCCTCGCCCTAAATCGCGCTGCTTTCATCGACGCCTTCTGCGGGGCATGGTCGGTCTCAACCTCGAGTCGAAACCTCGATTGCTTCAGCCTCTGCCCGCGCGCACCGCGCTGTTTCTCGGCATGCTGCCCCCCCCCCCATTCGCCATGCAACCAACGACACCACGAAGAGCCCGAACGACTCACACCAGGAGGAGGGGCCCGAACGACTCACACCAGGACGAGGCGCCCGAACGACTCACACCACGAGGAGCCCGAATGACTCACACCAGGACGAGGGCCCCGAACGACTCACACCACGAGGAGCCCGAACGACTCACACCAGGAGGCGGAGCCCGAACGACTCACACTAGGACGAAGGGCCCGAACAACTCACACCACGAGGGCCCCGAACGACTCACGCCAGGACGAAGAGCCCGAACGACTCACACCAGGAAGAAGGGCCCGAACGACTCACACCACGACGAGAGGCCCGGAGATATGCGGGGGCAGGCGGAAACACGCCTGAAAAACACGACTGTCGGCATGCTTCGCAAGAGTTGCTGTTTTGAGATGGGCTGGTGGGGATACGCGAAGCGTGAATAATTCAGATTTAGTTTTGGGAACAACGTCGACGTTTATATTGTGGACAATGCAAAACTCCTCACGCGCGCGCGGGGGTGGCCCGGCCTCCGTCGGCCTCCTTAAACGGCTCTTCAACCAGCCAACCTGCCTACCAGCCGGCGCACCAGCCAACCAACGCGCTGGACTCAACCAACCAACCGGCGCACGCGGAGCCTTACGTGCACATACTTGTAGATAGGCGAAGATTATCGCGCCCCGCGATGCACGCCCCTGCGCCGCCGCCCTGGACAAGGGCGGCTCACCTGCCCAGGCCGCGACGCGCGAGGCGCGATAATCTTCGCGCACCCAGGGGTGACCAAGTGCAGAGGCCTTGGGCGGCCACGTGTTTCAGAAATATGAAAACCTACGGATGCAAAACACAAAATGAGTATGCAGGCGCACAGTGAAGGTCTTGACCTAAGGTGCGACGTAAGGAACTAATGCCCCCACCTCGGCACGCGGATACACGTAGGGGCGACAGCTCCAGCGTGCGCCCCGCAAGGAAAGGGGGGGCCCGAGATTGGAGCTGGACCATAACGCAGCCACCATTCAATTATGTCGAGCCAGTGAGCTCCGAACCGCGTGGCCGAAGGAACGGGGGGGGCTCTTGCGAGGAACTGGACCCCAATGCCCCATACCTTGGCATGCGGATGCATGTAGGGGCGACAGCTCCAGCGCGCGCCCCGCAAGGAACGGGGGGGCCCGAGATTGGAGCTGGACCATAACGCAGCCACCGCTAAATTATGTCGAGCCAGTGAGCTCCGAACAGCGTGGCCGAAGGAACGGGTGGGGCTCTTGCGAGGAACTGGACCTCAATGCCCCAT